CCTTCTTGCATGGAGACCAGTCTGCCTTTGTAGGCCCAACAAATTAGCTACAAGATTAGAAATTATGATTTAGGGCACATACAGCCTCCAGCTGCAAGAATCTGAACCTCCCCAAATTGCTCCTGGGAATAACATTGCTGTTGTAAAACCTAAGATCTGTGCTTGAGATATTTTGCAGACCCTGCCTTCCTTATTGGAAGCAAGTAAAACTCCAGAAAAAGGAATTGTACCGCAAGCTAAACTTTAGTTCTCGACCAAATTTTGGGAGATCAGGGATTCTCTGGAGGGGGCCTTCCAGGTCTCTGCAAATTGTCCTATTGGTTTATGCCATAAAGATAGTTCAGGCTGGTACTAAGCATCAATAGGAGATTTGTCAAGCTCAGGGGCACCTCCACTCAGAATCCCTTTGTGGTTCCCAAAATATGAACCTGAAATATCTGAGACAGGCTTCAGTCAATTGAGGACGTTTATTTTGTCAAAGTTAAGGATATACCTGTGACACAGCCTCAGGAGGTCTTGACAACATGTGCCCATTGTGGTCAGGTCACCGCTTGGTTTTGTACGTTTTAGGGAGAGATGAGACATCAATTAATACATGTAAGATGAACATTTGTTCTGTCCAGAAAGGTGGGACAACTCCAAGTGGAGAGGGGGATTCCAGGTCAAAGATAGATAAGAGGCAAATGGCTGCATTCTTTTGAGTTCCTGATTAGCCTTTCCGAAGGAAGCAATCAGATGCATTTATCTCAGTGAGCAGAGGGATAACTATGAGCTCTGTCCTTTGTCCACAAGGAATTTCTTTGCAGATAAATGGTGAGGGAGGTATGTAGCTTTTTTATCTTAGTAACTATCTATTTTAGGAATAGAATGGGAGGCAGATTTGCCTTAAGCAGTTCCCACCTTGACTTTTCCCTTTAGCTTAGCAATTTTGGGATCCTGAGATTTATTTTCCTATTACAATAGATATATACTTATAATGCACATTTTCCATAAATCATATGTATTATTGTACAACTTGCATTTTCACTTTGTATTTTGAGTTATTTCTATTTTGGTATATAGAGAGGTACTTCTTTTTGATATCATAGTAGGGTAGAATAGTACTTTATAAAATAAATTTATCATACTTACTTTAATCCTTTCCCTATTGATGGCTATTCATGTAACCGCCTGATGGGTTCTTCCTGCCAGCTACACAAACAAAATCAAAGAGACCATGGCATTGCAGTAAAGAAAGAGTTTAATTGATGCAGTGCTGGCCATGCCAACTGGGAGATGAAGTCCTGACTTAACTCAATCTCCTGAAGAATTTGGGGGCTGGGGTTTTTCAAAGGTAGTTTGGGGAAAGGAATGGGAGCAGCTAGGCAATGGGTGCTTGGTGCTGACTGGTTGCGGGTGCAATCATAGGGGTGTGGAAAATGGTCCTTCTATGTGCTGAGTCACTTCTGGATGGGGCCTCTGGAGCAGTTGGTGGGTCATGGTAGAGCCAGACATGCAAGAAATATGAAAAGATACCTGAAAAGGCCAATCCTAGGTTCTACAATAGTGATGTTATCTGCAGGAGTAATTGGGGAAATTGCATATCTTGTGACCTCCAGAATAATGGCTGTCAATCCTTCATGTCTACACCTTAACAGTACTCAGGCTGCTCCATCCTTCTAGCCTGGTGGTTTCTTAGTAGCTTTACTAAGGCAGTTGGTTAAGTTTTGGGGAATGGCTATTACCATTTAAACCATAAAGTAAATGTCTCCCAAAGTTAGCTTATAAGCCCAGAAATAATTAAGGGCAGCTTGAAAGCCAAAGGCAAGACAAGTGTTAGCCAGATCAGATCTCCTTCACTATCATCATTGTCTCATTGTTACAATTTTTATAAAGGTGGTTTCACTTACATTATTTACAATTAATTGTTATTATAAGAAATTATGCATTTTAATATTCTCACATATATTTACTTAAAGCATTATACTGGAGAAAGAAAACTCTCACATCAGAATCTGCAGGCCAGTGTCCTTCATATTTGAGAGTCTGTTAAAGTTTTAATGCTATTAAGCTTAAAGGACAAAACCAAAAAAAAAAAAAAACCACCACACACAAATGTTGAGAATCATATCCTAAAGTGATTCATCAAAAAGTAGTGTGACATGCAATTGAAACTCCTGTTTCTCTTAGTATGACTAGTATTTCCTAACTCACATATTTTGGTGTGTCAGATTGAGGCATCCACAAAGGGAATACAAATGATCATATTTTTCTGCCTCTTTGTGCTCTATATTTTAAAATGTAGATATTGATACTATCTCTAATAAGTGTGTGCTTCAGGAGTTAGTTCACATTCTGTGTCTTCCTCTCTTGTTCCCTTCCAACATTGAAAAACCATACAGAGAGCAGCTGTGTGTGGCATACTCTGGGCTAAGCCCTGGGGTTACTTTGAATTAGGATTGATCTACATAAAACAGAGGGTGCCATAGAATTGTCATGACTCAGTAGCCCATCACCTCCTTCAATCCTGACTGATGATACTGTCTACAATGTGCTGAGAATACAGTGGTGAATACCAAAAGGGTCCTTTCATTCAGGGAACTTCCAGTGTAACAACTCAAACTCCCCACTGCTTGGAAGGGAGAGTAAAATATTTTATACGTTCAGAAGAAAAAAGCACATGCATTCATTAGGCAGGTGCAGGGCTGGGAGAAAAGGAGCATTTGAGGAGAGCAGTTGGATCTGGGATCCGCCTTAAGGAAGTGGGCGAATAGTGGTCCCCTCTCCTGACAGAACAGTGGAGAGGCGCCAAGACCATCCCTACCTGGAGCCATCAAAGAGGGAGGACTGCTATGACCTCCTGTGGGTCCTGACAGGGAAAGGTCCGCTTTTGGGGACAACTGTGGGGACAACGCAATGCCAATGTGAGCCACCATTTGAAATGAGAAAAAGCAATGTAGCAGAAAGAAATGAGTCTGGTGCAGACCAGTGGTTGATTTCCTAGGGTTAGAGGTCTAGGTCTACCTTCTTTTACAGGAGGAGCAGTGGTGAGGCCTTGATGGGAGCCCCCTGCTCTGGAGTTCACTTAAGAGCAGGTGTACCTTCTCCTCTGAGTGACTCCATGAAGCAGGGAAAGAAACGCACAGGAGGACCACCTTAGAGCCATGGGCCTGTCTAGCCCGAAATCATCTCTCCCCTCCCAGACTACAGTGCTAACACCCTCTTTCCCATTAGCGTCCAGGAAGGAGGGTGAGAGGACTGGGGAGAGGGAGGGGGCAGACACCCAGCAGTCCTTGTCGGGGGAGGGGGTTGGGTTGGTAGTGCAAACACACCAAAGGGCAGTTTGATATCCATCCGCTGCTCCCCCCAGCGAGGCTCTTCCTGACCTCCCCATCCTGTCCCACGCCCGTGCCCCCAGCCTCTCACCAGTCCCAAATATTATAGCAACGCTAAAAATCTGTTGGTGGTCGCCACGTTTTAGGGTCTGCGAGGGCCTCCTGACGCAGCCTGGTGCCAACACGCACGTCCACGCTGGGGCTCATCGTGGCCCCGCCCACCTCTGGGTCGGAACTACGGTGGGCCTGGGAGGGGGCGTCCAGCCTTTCACGCCGTATCCCTCCGCCCCCCTTTCCCAGCACCCTCGCGGCGGGCGGTTCTTACCGCGTCCTGCGCGGCCCCTGCCCTGTTTGGTGTAGAGGCGTGGGGGGCAGGACGCCTCTTTGCTGTTGGGAATGCGGGGAAAGCGGTGGGAATCCAAGTAAGCAGCCGCCAGAGGAGAGCTGAGGAGAGGAGGGGGAGGCCGACGACCTGGGCCCTGGGCCTCTGAAGGCAAGTGGGGGTGCGTGGGGTGGGGTCCGGGGTGTAGGGGTGGTCCGCCAGGGTGGACAGGCTGGTAACCTGCCCCGCCGACCCTGGCAGCCCGGCAAGGAGGAGACGATCCGGTTGGAACCGGGTGCGGGAGAGAGGTGCGCAATGTCCGAGACCCCTGGCGATGGGGAGGCGGTGACCAGTGTGGGTCAGGCCGGGCCTAGGGCTGAGGGCCTGGCTCGGGGAGAACCGTCAGATCGTCTGCAGGAGAACCACACTGACCGCTTCCCAGCCGGCTTTGCAGGCGCCCGCGCCCCGCCCTCGACGGTGTCTGTGCCGGGAGGGGGCTGTGGGGGAAGCTCCTGCGGGAGAAATGGCGGAGCGGGAGCCTTTGTGGGGGGCGCCCGGGGAGGCAGGTGGGGGCCGGCGTCCCAGCTCTGTGCCCAGCCCGCGGGAGGTGGGCCGCGTTACCTACTCGGGGCCCTGATTCCGGAAAGGGGCCTGTCGGACACCGTGTCCTGGGTGCTGTCCCTTCCCTCAGGCTCCAGGTTGATGTCAAAGTCTCCTGTCTGCGCGATAGGTCTGGTGGATTCTCCAGAAGTGGAACCGTGAGTGGGTGGATTATGAAGACACTAAAATGAAACGTTTAACCGCCTTTTAATACTGCACTGCCTTATTGTCTTACATATTTAGATCCCCACATCCAATTTTGTGCAAGCAAATGGACAGGGTGTAGACTGGGTCGAATTTCACAACAGTGGTCCGTGTAAATACCAGAGTAATATTTATCCACCTTTCTTGTTCAGGATCTGTTTTCTCAACTTGCTGATCCTCTTTAAGTAATGTAATGATGTGTGAGAATGTGGGTTCTGAGTAGAGGAGAAATCTTTTTGAAGGGTCAATTTAGAACATTTGAAGTCAATCAGCTGCTTCAGTTTCTGGTTCTGGAAACCAAAACTATCTCCAGCCACTCCTCACAGACCCCCTCATTTTGGTACAGAAATAGTCCCACGGAAGAATGCATGGCATTTGTGATGGTGGATATCTGAGGAGCTATGAGAGTTGGGAGACTTCATTTACTTAGTTTCTGATTCTCTAAAAGGAGGTGTTATAATCCGAATTTGGTAATCTGTCCCTTAACCTGCGATTTTTCTACCATTGTTAACAAAGTCTCGGGGTTATTTTTGGCTAATTGCTCTTCCTTCTTTTTGTAGGGTGTGACTCTTCCCTAGCTAGAGGACTCTTCTTTGGTGGGAAGGATAGCATCTCCTGAGAACCCCTGCTGTATGAGCAGGCTAACATAAATGGTGAATGAGGTAGGATCTAGGTATGCATGGGGAAGGGGAGGTACATGCACAGATGGTATTAAAATAACAGTCTCCATTATCTTCCCTGCCTGCCTTCTAAGTACATTTACCTATGTTTCCACTACCTATTTCTGCACCTCATATTTTTGTTCAGGGAAGGAGTATAACTTCTGTTGGGAAAATGACTGGCTTCAAAGTTGGCAGGAGGTATAATCAGGCTGCAGGTCTTGGGGTGATGGCTGGGGAATCATTGGGGAAGAGCAGACAGGTGGGAGACATTTAACATGGCCTTGAATATTCAAATGCATATTTTATAAGCCTTGTTATGGGCATTGGATCATCTTAGTCTCTTCTATTTTCTTTCCTCTGCCTTCCTTTCTATCCTTAGGTCTGTTCCTTTCTAGGTTCCTGTAGAGATCTGTATGTAGCTGTTCCCTTGGAAGTTAATTAAGAGAACAAAAACTATTTATTTGGATCCAAGGTAGGTTTAAGTGTGAGCACCCCTGTTGATTGGGGTTATGGAGAGGCTGTTGCCAAGTGGGTTAGACCAGATCACATTTTGGAGCCATTGTCTTCCAGCTTTCCAGACACCTCTGACCTCACATTTGTGTACAAGTGATGGGGTGGGGTAAGCCAGGATTATGCCGATGAGGTAATTGGTAGACATTGGGACGGGAAATGGGAAGAGAAGCCATGAGGAGTACTCAGAGGCCAGGAGTGTTACATAACCAAAGTCCTAGATTTGGAAAGGCAGGTTTTTGGTTTAGAGATTATAGTGCAGGTCTGTTAACCAAATACTCAAAATTCCAATCCCAGCTGTATTTTTGTCCATAGGCCTGCCCATGGCTTAACTATAGGGCTTATCAACACTGGAAACAAGGAAGGAGGAAGAATTGCACTGGATCAGTGCAGGTTGGTGTGAGGGTTTCCTGAATACACCTATGGACTCTAGTGGTATATATTTGAGTGGTGGACCTACTAGCATGGATCCAAAGGGACTGGGTACTCCTTTAGCCTTTCTTACGCTCAGCAAGCTTACCTCCATCTTTGTTCCTGTTTGATGCAGAGTAAAAGAATGGCAGTGCTTGGGAAGGACATTGTTGAGCATTAGTGGCAGTGTGCAAGGTATAAAATGAAGTAGTAGAGTTTTCTGTTAATTCACTTCTACACAATTCATTTCTACTCTCCTATGCCCTTCTGTGTGGCTGTTTGCATAGAGAAGCACAGCTGGACAAGACTCAAAGCCAGTTTTTTTCTTCAACCTCAGGTCCATCTCCACTGGTAGCTGTGGTGGCTTTGGATTGTTGGAAGACCATCACCTTCAGCAGGTCTGCACTTGACAACATTCATTCTTCCCCAGCCTGAGTGTGCCTCTGCCCTCTGTATCATTGGCAGACGCTGTATGTTTGGAAAGAGAACTCTGTGACTGCAGAATTGACAGTTGACTCTAACTCTTGCTACCAAGTTTTTCCCTGACCCAGTAAAAGACTGTTAAGACATCGACCTAGGACACATTGAGAACCAAGGCCAAGACTGGACAGGGACGTATAACTGGGCTTCAACCATGACTGGGACTAAGAATAAGACAAGAGCCCAGGCCAAAACTGAAAAAAAGGCTGCTATACAAGCTAAAGCTGGAGCAGAAAGGGAGGCTACTGGTGGCATTAGGCCTGTAGCCAAGACCAGGTCCAAAGCAAAAGCCAAGGCAGGGTCTAAGAAAGATACAGTGACAGAGATGAAGGCAGCCTCTAAGAATAAGCTTGTTGCTGAGATGAAGGAAGGAGCCCTGTCAGAGTCTAAGACTCAGGGCAAAGCCATGGGAGATGTCAGTCCCAAGTCTGGGAATGAGTCCCCCAGTTCCACATGTAAAAATGAGGCTGGTATTGATGCCTGGTCCTGGGCTGGGGAAGAGGCCACTGTCGACTCATGGTTTGGGAATGAAGAAGAGGCTGGTAATAGTTCCAGTACTAAGAATGGTAAACCTGAAATTGGTGCCCAGGTCTGTGCTGAGGAGTTGGAGCCTGCAGCTGTGGCTGGTTGCAAACCTAGGTCAGGGGCTGAGGAGGAGGAGGAAGAGAATGTTATTGGGAGCTGGTTTTGGGAAGGAGATGATACTAGTTTTGACCCTAATCCTAAACCTGTGAGCAGGATAATTAAGCCTCTGCCTGTGTATGAAATTAATGAAAAAGATAGGCCCAAGGACTGGTCTGAGGTGACTATCTGGCCCAAAGCCCCTGCTGTAACTCCAGCAGTGTTAGGATTTAGATCCCAGGCACCATCTGAGGCAAGCCCTCCTTCATATATTGTTCTGGCCTCAGCTGAAGAAAATGCCAGTTCTTTGCCTGTGGCAACAGCTTGCCACTCTTCTAGGAATACTCGCTCATGCTCACAGCCTGTCCCTGAGGGTCCTTTTGGTTCTGACCCTTGCATCCAGACCATAGATGAGATTAGACGCCAAATCAGGATCAGGGAGGTAAATGGGATTAAGCCATTTGCTTGTCCTTGCAAAATGGAATGCTATATGAATTCTGAGGAATTTGAAAAACTTGTTAGCATACTTAAGTCAACTACTGATCCTCTTATTCATAAAATAGCACGGATTGCAATGGGTGTCCATAATGTTCACCCATTTGCCCAAGAGTTTATTAATGAAGTGGGTATAGTGACACTTATTGAAAGCTTGCTCAGTTTTCCTTCCCCTGAAATAAGAAAAAAGACTGTAATTACTCTAAATCCTCCTTCTGAGGATGAAAGACAACGCAAACTTGAATTACATGTTAAGCATATGTGTAAAGAAACCATGTCATTTCCTTTGAACTCACCCGGACAGCAATCTGGATTAAAGATACTAGGACAACTGACTACTGATTTTGTCCATCATTACATTGTTGCCAATCACTTTTCAGAGCTTTTCCATTTGCTGTCCTCAGGAAATTGCAAAACCAGAAATCTTGTTTTGAAACTACTTTTAAATATGTCTGAAAATCCAACTGCAGCCAGAGACATGATCAATATGAAGGCATTGGCAGCATTAAAACTCATCTTTAACCAGAAAGAGGCAAAAGCCAATCTTGTTAGTGGTGTGGCCATATTTATTAACATAAAGGAGCATATCAGAAAAGGCTCAATTGTAGTTGTTGATCACATGAGTTATAATACACTCATGGCCATTTTCAGGGAAGTTAAAGGGATTATTGAAACAATGTAAAATGAACCAGAAATAGAACATTTTGAACCATCTCCAAACTCTAGCAGGCTGTACATTACAGTGTACACATTGTACATTGCATCTTTAACACAAAGTTACCAGGGACAGGCTCTAGGTTTGAACTAGACTATTTGGAGGGTATCAAATAAATATTTTATCTTGGGCCCAAAATGTTTGTTGATTTTTATCTTGTCTCGATTGGCATATTTTTTAACATTTAAGATAGAGAACCAGTTCATTTAAGCTAACTTGTTCATTAGTATCTGCTTAGATCCATCTGTGGCTTAAAGTGGCAAAAAAGAAAATATCCTTGAGTTTGTAATCTAGTTGCAGACGTAAGACATACACACACACAAAGATAACTAACAGTACTGAGAGAGAGAGAGAGTGTGTGTGTGTGTCTATGTGTGTGCCATGCATACTCATGGCCAAATGTGCACACTATATAAAGGAGGCAGGGGTTGCTATAGGCTATTTAATATAAGAGAAACTACTATTTTTCTCCTATTCCAGCTGTATCAGATACTTGTTCCACAACACAGAAATGACCCAGAATCTCAGACAAAAGGTATTATTGTTCCATTTTTTAATTTTGCTACTACGTTTATAACTCTTAAATTGTTATGCTGTTTCATTTACATCAAAGTCATGTCACAAAAGAGAAGGCAGGAAAAATTTGTGAGTGCATATTCTATGTCAGACACTGTGTTGACATCATATTTCACAAGGTTTTTTTTTCCTCTGCTCACAGTGCTCTTGTGAGCTAGTTACTTGTATTTTTATTAGAACTCATTATTCTGGGTACTCTCCAATGAGAATTAGAGAGGTTAAATACTTTTTCCTAGATTGCCACAGCAGGCAGGTGGCATAGCTGTTTTGCCTGACACCAGAACCCATCTCACCACACTACTTACAATCCTCCTGAAGGACAGTTTGAGGTGGTGGCCTTCAAAGCTTGGAGACTGATTTTAATGGTTTAATTTTACAGTGGATGATGCTCATGCCAAGTGTTACAATTCTTAACTTCCTCCAAATTCATGTATCCATTAGACATTTGGCCACATCTGGCTGAAGGTCAGGAGAAAAGTCTAAGATGAATAGATGGATTTTATCTGGCAGTGTTGGAAATAGTAGGTGCCCAAAACTTTATTCAGTAAGATGTAGATTTGGAGTCATCAGCAAAGGGCAACTTGTTAGATGTCCTTTGTATCTTTTTCTATCCATTTGTACTTTTTCTTTCCCAAAGAGCTGAAATCATTATGTACATCATTTTATACCCTGAATTTAAAGGGTAATTGCCTTTTTCCTCCTTGCAAAATCATACCTTAACTTTTTTTGCCATTTATGATTTATTCTCCTGTATGTCATATGAAAGGCCAAGGGACTTTATCTTTTGCTATTAGGCAATCTTGAACATTTCTGCATTTGTACCAGCTTAAACTTAATTGGAGAAATTTAGACCCAGAATTGCAGCTTCAACAATACAAATCAGGAAAGATAGAAGAGGCTGCTGTGTCACCTTACAAGATAGTGATTCTTGGAAGTTTGTATGGACCAGATAGCATTCCCAGGAGATTTAGGCTATGGCTGAGTTCTCTAAGACTCATGGTGGGAATTATAATCCCTGGTATAAGCTGAAATGAAAGTTTCTATGTGTGAAAATATGGAGTTATATGCTTTTGAGATTTTCTGCCAGTTGAGAAACTAAAACAAGATCATACTGTAAATATGTTTGTAACTTGCTTCTTCCCCCTCAGTTGTATACTGTAAACATCTTTATGTCAATAAATATGCTTCTACAACATATTTTTGAATAACTTAATATTTTTCCTATGTTAAAAGTTGGTATATAGTATTGTAATCCTTTATTGCATATTCTCTTAATTTACAACATGCACATTCTTTTGCAAAAATAGAAATACAGTATTGAGACTTGCCTTTTCCTCTTAACAGTTATATTTTCAATTTAGTATTTCTAGATCTGTCACATGCTTTTTATTTAATAGCTTTATTGAAATATAATTGACATACGTTAAGCTTACGGTTTGATCAATTTTGAAATATATATACACACAAAACCACAACCACAATAAAAATGGTAAACATTCATCACCCACCAAAGCTGCTTTTTTTTTTTTTTTTTTTTTTTTTTTGAAACAGAGTCTTGCTCTGTCACCCAGGCTGGAGGACAATGGTGTGATCTCAGTTCACTGCAACCTCTGCCCCCCAGGTTCAGGTGATTCTTGTGCCTCTGCCTCCTGAGTAGCTGAAACTACAGGCGTGTGCCACCACACCCAGCTAATTTTTTTTTTTTTTTTAATTTTAATAGAGACAGTGTTTCCCTATGTTGGCCAGGCCAGTCTTGAACTCCTGGCCTCAAGTGATAGATCCACCTCGGCCTCCCAGAGTGCCAGGATTACAGGTGTGAGCCACCACGCCCAGCCTCCCTCAAAGCTTCTTAATGCCTCTTTATAGTCCTTCCCTCCTCTCTCTCCCTGTGCCCCTCACCCAGGCAACCATGGGTCACTTTCTGACAACATATAATTGTTTTCATTGTCCGTAATTGTCTATAAATTGACTCATACAGCATGTACTCTTTGATTAGGAGGGGATCTGACTTATTTCACTTAGCATAATTATTTGAGAATCATCCATGTCATGTGTCACTATTTCATCACTTTTTATTGCCAAGTAGTATTTCACCATAAGCCTTACCACAGTTTGTTTATCCATTCATTTGTTGATGGCCATTTGAGTTGTTCAGAGTTTGGCTATTATAAGTAAAGCAGCTATGAGCATTTGTATACAAGCGTTTTTATGGACATAGGCTTTCATTTCTTTGGAATGACTTCTAACAATTTTGAATCTTCTGACCCATTAATAAAATTTCCACTTATTTAAGTCTCCTTTATTTCTCTAAGCAGCATTGTGTAGTTTTCATGCAATATGCTTTTTTAGCAGCTGCATATATTCTTTTATGTGGTTCTATCACATGTTATTTAATCCATTCCCTGGAGATGAACACTTACAGGATTTTTTTCCTGTGAGAATTGATGCTGCAGTGAGAATCCATGTTTATGTGTTCACATCTCTGAGTATTTTTTTAAGACAGGGTCTCACTCTGTTGCCCAGGCCAGAATGCAGTGACATGATCTAGGCCCACTGCAACCTCCACCTCCAGGGTTCAAGCAATTCTTGTGCCTCAGCCTCCTGAGTAGCTGGGATTATAGGCATGTGCCACCATGCCCAGCCTTCTGAATATTTCAAATGATAAATTCCTTGCAGCGCAACTGCTTTGTCAGAGATCATAAATGGCTGTGCCCTTTAGCCAGAGACCACTAGGAACATGCCTGTATTTGAACAAGTTGGGTTTCTTGTTGCAGTGAGTGAGAACACACAATGAATGGGGAATCATGGGGTGCTTCAGTAAGATGGTTTTAGAAATGACTTCTTATAAGATTTGGGCGTGTTAGGTGATTTGGTGGAGAGTTTAAGAAAGTGAGGCTTTGTTGTAGATTGAGAGCAGTTGGGAAGCACGAGTAATTCTATGATTTGGTATTTAAATAAATCTTATTCTATAGGTGAGGAATACCAAAGTTATCATTGGTAAAGAAGCAGCAGTTACTAATATTAGCCAGAATGGGGGCAGGGGGGATATTTCATCATTTTTATAATTGGGACAATGATTTTCTGTGTTAATACATGATTACAGAGTAGTCTTGCTTTTGTCTTGATACATGACATTCATGGAGTAGCCTGGTCTAATGTTAATGTTCTGTGAAATTGTTTCTATTCAATGAGAGACCATCAAGGCCTAGCTGTGAGTGCTGGGCCAGCTCTTGGATGTCAGCCTGCTTTTCTTCTTGTCATGGGATATTTGCCAATTCTTATGTATATATATATTGCCCAACTGAGCTTCAAAATGAATCTCACCAGCCTCAACTCATGGAGCATGAATGTCTATTTCTTCATATATTCTTCATATCGCCAACACTTGGTATCACTATTTTTAAGTTTTTCTACTCTCGTAGACAAAATAATCTCATTGTTTTAACAACATTTTAAAGGTTACATAATATTACATATTATGGATGTGAAAATTGAATCATACTTTTATATTCCATTGATTTAATTGTAGGTATGTGAAGATGGACCTCATTACTTAGTGGGTGGAGGAAAGTGGAGTATATATACATGTGTGTCACTTTGCCTATTTATGCCTCCTCATTACTGCCCTTCCCATGTGATCTTGAGGCCCTTGCAGTTATCACCAACTGACAACTAGAAAGGTTGTATCACTTTATATCTTGGGAACTAGATTTAAACAGGAATGAAGAGTTTAGCTATGGTGACATTCTGTTACAGAGTTCAGGCCCTGAACTCTGTTATGGACCAACACTCAGGCAACAGCTTCAGTGACTAGACTAGCAAGTGATATGTACATACAACTACAGCTCAAAACAGAATGAGGCTTATTAATAAGACAAGCACAAATGCTTTCCAGGTACAGTTTTATGAAGATAATATAAATATATTTCTATTTCTTCAGTTTAAAGAGATTGGTAATTGTTTTATAAAATAAGCTTCAGATAAGTGTCATAATCATGACTTGATAAAAATTTTTAAGAGCAACATGCAAATTTTGCTTTAAGACTTTAGCTCACCTCTGGACACCTACTTTCAGCTGTACAACGTACTGTCTCTTGTCAGCAGATCATCTTAAAGGAGCTATGGCCACCTGTCTCCTAAAGGCGCCATGTCCCTCTCAATGGTCATTGTGAGGGTTTCCCTGAAGGGGAGGAGAACTCCAGAAAGTTGCAAACTGGAACAGCTATTTCTTGTGTATGTTGAACACCTCATTTAGCAAACAAAACTAGGCTGTCTCAGGTTATGATACCCAAAATAAAGCAAAATATGAAAGACTTGAGTAGAAATATTTTTCTTCTCCAGAAGATGTTAATACTCCATGTAGGAGGCAGAGACTGGCTACTCCCCAAGACCCAATTAGGTCTTTGTGCAAAGCTCTAAAATGTTAGGGAGCAACAAAATGCCTAGTATGTTAGCAATGGACAGGAAAGAGTAATGCAGAGAGCAATAATGTGTTTCTAGGTTCCCTTCTTTGAATTAGGAAAGAGTGCTATTCCTTTTCCCTGTTGATAATGAAATGCCATTTTAATGGGAAATTGCACTGGAGAAAGTACGCTCCACTAGGCCCATGCTTTATTATGTAGCTTTTATGTGTAGCTGTGCTATTGTAGTTTAAGGATACAAAGAATTAATCTTTTATCAGAACCATCTTGATTCTACAAAATATGATAATGTGATATGAGTTTAATGGCACTCCTTAACAAACATTGAAAGGTAAGTGTGCATGAATACATTTTTTTTTTGAGACAGAGTCTCAAAGGCTGGAGTGTAGTGGCATGCAATCTTGGCTCACTGCAACCTTCGCCTCCCAAGTTCAAGCAATTCTCCTGCCTCAGCCTCCAGAAGAGTTGGGGTTACAGGCACCCACCAGTAACTCTGGCTAATTTCTGTATTTTTAGAAGAGACGGGGTTTCTCCATGTTGGTCAGGCTGATCTTGAACTCCTGACCTCAGGTGATCTGCCTACCTTGGCCTCCCAAAGTGCTGGGATTACAGGCATGAGCTGTCCCTCCCCTAGGTCCCCCCCACAGACCCCAATGTGTGATGCTCCCCTCCCTGTATCCATGTGTTCTCATTGTTCAACACCCGCCTATGAATGAGAACATGCGGTGTTTGATTTTCTGTTCTTGTGTCAGTTTGCTGAGAATGATGGTTTCCAGGTTCATCCATGTCCCTACAAAGGACACGAACTCATCATTTTTTATGGCTGCATAGTATTCCATGGTGTATATGTGCCACATTTTCCCTGTCCAGTCTATCATTGATGGGCATTTGGGTTGGGTCCAAGTCTTTGCTATTGTAAATAATGCTGCAGTGAACATTCGTGTGCATGTGTCCTTATAATAGAACGCTTTATAATCCTCTGAATATATACCCAGTAATGGGATTGCTGGGTCAAATGGAATTTCTATTTATAGGTCCTTGAGGAATCGCCACACTATCTTCCACATTGGTTGAACTAATTTACACTCCCACCAACAGTGTAAAAGTGTTTCTATTTCTCCACATCCTCTCCAGCATCTATTGTCTCCAGATTTTTTTTATTGCATTTTAGGTTTGGGGGTACATGTGAAGAACATGCAAGATTGTTGCATAGGTACACACATGGCAGTGTGATTTGCTGCCTTCCTCCCCTTCACCTATATCTGGCATTTCTCCCCATGCTATCTCTCCCCACCTCCCCACCCCCATCCCTCCCCCATTTCCCCCCACAGACCCCAGTGTGTAGTGCTCCCCTTGATTGCCATTCTAACTGGCGTGAGATGGTTAACTCAATGTAGTTTTGATTTGCATTTCTCTAATGACCAGTGATGATGATGATTTTTTCATATGTTTGTTGGCCTCATATATGTCCTCTTTTGTAAAGTGTCTGTTCATATCCTTCTCCCACTTTTGAATGGGCTTGTTTTTTTCTTGTAAATCTGTTTTAGTTCTTTGTAAATTATGGATATTAGCCCTTTGTCAGATGGGTAGATTGCAAAATTTTTTTCCCATTCTGTTGGTTGCCAGTTTACTGTAATGATTGTTACAGTGTGATTTTCAATGCAGGTGCGCGTTGTATCATTATCAAATCAGGGTGATTACCATATACATCACTGTAACCACCTTTAGAACCAGTTTGTGAGTTATACAAGGACACCAGGGTCATCACATTATA